CCCCAAAACCCCAAAACCCCAAAACCCCAAAACCCCACTCTTTCTCATGGAATTGAAGTTTAAATGCAATCGGTTGCCATTTTATTAATTGAATTTCCGACTAGTGTTAGATCCATTTGTTTTCCTACTGATATTTAATTGAGGACTATTAAATTGGTTACCCTTCCTTTCAAAAACTGGGGATGTATTACCTTGATGATGATGATTATCTATAAGTCCTAACTCAGTATCGTAATCTCTATTTTTCTTTTTAAGCTTGAGAAAGTTATCCTGAATCCAGAACTGGAAGGCATTCAATATAAATGGCACTATCACCATGATTACTATTAACTTTACTTTTGGATAAGCCTTAACCCAACCAATCAGAAAAGTAGAAATCCTCTCAAGAACTGGTGCCGCTAATAACTGGAAAGAGAATAATGTCAGTTTCACCATTACAATGATTAGTCCCCATGCTCAAATCTGGACAATCCAATTTCTGATATCGATATCGTCTAGAGTAACTTCACTGTTATAAGTCTCTTTTGTTAAATATGGCTTATCTTTGTTAATTTTTAAATAGCTCCCTGAGTGCAACATGTTAAAAGAATATTTAGTAGCTAATATCTCCACACCTTTGAGGAGAATATAACACAGAAACACGCCAAGGAACACATCAACAGTAATATTGATGAAATACCACTCTCAATTATCTGATTCTCCTGCATTGCTGAGCAAAATAGCGAGCATCATATTAATCCAGTGAGCCAAGGCTCATGAGAAAGCTTGCTTCGAAGTATCTAAGAGCCAAATGATCAACGGTCTTTTAGGGTCCTCGAAATATCTTTTTACCAATAAAACAGAGAATGATAAGAGTCCAAGAAAAATCTGAATCATTGTTCCAAATCTTCCGAGAATCTGGCACTCGTGAGATTTGCCTAAATCTGGGCTTTGAGCATCGCTGTTTTCCATTATTATTAATATTACAAGTTGAACCATAATCACGGGGTTTTGGGGTTTTGGGGTTTTGGGGTTTTGGGG